ATTACAGGCATGAGACACCATGCCTGGTCAGGTTACATGAGTAAGTTCTTTGTGAGATTTTGGTGCACCCATCACCCGAGCAGTATACACTGCACCCTATTTGTAGTGTTTTATCCCTCATCCCTCTCCCACTCTTCCCCGCCAAGTCTCCAAAGTCCATTGTATCATTCTTACACTTCTGCATCCTCATAGCTTAGCTCCCACATATCAGTGAAAACATACAATCTTTGGTTTCCCATTCTTGAGTTACTTCACTTAGAATAATAGTCTCCAGTCTCATCCAGGTCACTGCAAATGCTGTTAATTCATTCCGTTTTATGGCTGAGTAGTATTCCATCGTGTGTGTGTGATATGCATATGTATATATGTGTGTGTATATATATGTATACACATCATTGTGTATACATTATCCACTCATTGATATATATATGTATACACACACACACCATAGTTTCTTTATCCACTCATTGATATATATGTATACACACACACACACACACACACACACACACACACACACACACACCATAGTTTCTTTAGATTGATGGGAATTTCGGTTGGTTCCAAGATTTTGCAATTGTAAATTCTGCTACTATAAACTTAAGGGTGCAAGTATCTGTTTCGAATGATGACTTCTTTTTCTCTGGGTGGATACGCACTAGTGGGATTACTGGATCAAACGGTAGGTCTACTTTTAGTTCTTTAAGGAATCTCCACCCTGTTTTCTATAGCAGCTGGACTAATTTACTTTCCCACCTGCAGTGTAAATGTGTTCCCTGTTCCCCACATCCACCCCAGCATCTACTGTGGTTTTGTTTTGTTTTGTTTTTTGATCATGGCCGTTCTTGCAAGGGTGAGGTGGTATCACATTGTGCTTTTGATTTGCATTTCCCTGATTATTAGTGATGTTGAGCATTTTTCATATGTTTGTTGGCCATTTGTCTATCTTGAGAACTGTCTATTCATGTCCTTAGCCTACTTTTTGATGGGATTGTTTTTTTCTTACTGATTTGAGTTCATTGTAGACTGGATATTAGTCCTTTGTCAGACGTGTAGACTGTGAAGATTTTCTCCCACTCTGTGGGTTGTCTGTTGACTCTGCTGACTGTTCCTTTTGCTATGCAAAAGCTCTTTAGTTCAGTTAAGTCCCAGCTACTTATCTTTGTTTTCATTGCATTCACTTTTGGGTTCTTGGTCATGAAATCCTTGCCTAAGACAATGTCTCGAAGGGTTTTTCCAATGTTATCCTCTAGAATTTAAATACAGTTTCAGGTCTTAGGTTTAAGTCTTTTTTTTATTTTTATTTTTTTAAACAGTTTTGCTCTTGTCGCCCAGGCTGGAGTGCAATGGCGCGATCCCGGCTCACTGCAACCTCCGCCTCCCAGGTTCAAGTGATTCTCCTGCCTCAGCCTCCCCAGTAGCTGGTATTACAGGCACCCATCACCACGCCCAGCTAATTTTCATATTTTTAGTAGAGACGGGGTTTTGCCATGTAGGCCAGGCTGATCTCGAACTCCTGATCTGCCCACCTCAGCCTCCCAAAGTACTGGGATTACAGGCGTGAGCCATCGCACCCAGCCAGGTTTAAGTCTTTAATCCACCTTGAGTTGATTTTTGTATAAGGTGAGAGATGAGGATTCAGTTTCATTTTCCTACATGTGGCTAACCAATTGTTTCAGCACCATTTGTCAAAAAGGGTGTCCTTCCCCACTTTAGGTTTTTGTTTGCTTTGTCAAAGGTCAGTTGGCTGTAGGTATTTGGGGTTGTTTCTGGGTTCTCTATTCTGTTTCATTGGTCTATGTGCCTATTTTTGTACCAGTACCATGCTGTTTTGGTGACTATGCCTTATAGTTTGAAGTCAGGTAGTGTGATACCTCCAGACTTGTTCTTTTTGCTTAGTCTTGCTTTGACCATGTGGGCTCTTTTTGGTTCCATTTGAATTTTAGAATTGTTTAATTCTGTGAGGAACGATGGTGGTATTGGGATTGCATTGAATTTTGTAGATTGCTTTTGTCAGTATAGTCATTTTCACAATATTGATTCTACCCTTCCACAAGCATGGGCTGTGTTTCCAATTGTTCGTGTTGTCTATTTATTTCAGCAGTGTTTTGTAGTTTTCCTTATAGAGGTCTTTTACCTCCTTGGTTAGGTATATTCCCAAGTTGTGTTGCGTTGTTGTGTTGTGTTTTGTTTTGAAGCTGTTGTAAAAGGGGTTGAGTTCTTGATCTGATTCTCCACTTGGTTGCTGTTGGTGTATAGAAGAGCTATTAATTGGTGCACATTAATCTTGTATCCGGAAACTTGAATTCTTTTATCAGTTCTAGGAGCTTTCTGGAGGAGTCCTTAAAGCTTTCAAGGTAAAGGATCATATCGTCAGCCAATAGTGACAGTTTGACTTTCACTTTACTGCCTTGGATGCCCTTTCTTTCTCTTGTCTGATTACTCTGGCTAGGACTTCCAGTATTCTGTCGAAGAGGAGTGTTGAGAGTGGGCATCCTTGTCTTTGTTATGTGCATGCCTAAGTGAAGAGACATCCTGAACAGGCTAAGTGTGAGCAGCAGGACTGTTTATTCACTCAGGTGCAAGCGGGCTGAGTCCAAAAAGAGAGTCAGTGAAGGGTGGTGGGATTGGAGCTAGTTTTATAGGTTTAGGGGTAAGCACTGGAAAGTTACAGTTTGGGGCCGTTTATTGTGGGCAGGGGAAGAATGTCGCAAGGTACATTGTCACAAGGTGGGAGGGGTCACAGGGCACAGTGTCACTAGGTTGATTGATCAGTTAGGGTACAGCATGTTGCAGTGGTAGAATGTTCAAGACTGGCTAATCAGCTAAGACAGGACCTAGCTGTTTTTCTTCTTTTGTGGTTTTCCTGTTGTCCTAGACGTTCTGGCTCCAAGAGGCCTTCTGGATATGTACGTGTGGGTCACAGAGGTCACGATGGCTTGACCATGGTACAGCCTGCTCAGAAGACCTCAGTCTCGTTCCAGTTCTCAGAGGGAATGCTTTCAACTCTTCCCCATTCAGTATTATGTTGCCTGTGGGTTTGTCATAGATAGCTTTTATTATGTCAAGGTACGTCCCTTGTATGCCAACTTGGCTGAGAGTTTTCATCATAAAGGGATGCTGGATTTTGTCGAATGCTTTTTCTGTATCTATTGAAATGATCATGTGATTTTTAATTCTGTTTATGTGGTGTATCACATTTATTGTACATGTTAAACCATCCCTGCTATGAAACCCACTTGATCATGGTGGATTATCTTTTTGATATGTTGTTGGATTCAGTTAGCTAGGATTTTGTTAAGGATTTTAGCATCTATGTTCATCAAGGATATCAGTTTGTAGTTTTCTTTTTTCGTTATGTCCTTTCCTGATGTTGGTATTAGGGTGATGCTGACTTCATAGAATGAATTAGGGAGGGTTATTTCTTCCTCTATCCTGTGGAATAGTGTCAAAAGGATTGGTACCAATTCATTCTGTGAATCTGTCTGTTCTTGGACTTTTTTGTTGGTAATTTTTTAATTGCCATTTCAATCTCACTGCTTGTTATTGGTCTGTTCAGGATATCTAATTCTTCCTGATGTAAGCTAGGAGGGTTGTATCTTTCTAGGAATTTATCCATCTCTTCTAGGTTTTCTAGTTTACATGCATAAAGGTGTTCACAGTAGGCTTGAATTATCTTTTGCATTTCAGTGGTGTCAGTTGTAATATCTCCTGTTCGCTTTCTCAGTGAGGTTATTTGGATTTTCTCTTATCGTCTTGGTTAATCTTACCAATGGTCTTTCAATTGTATTTATCTTTTCAAAGAACCGGCTTTTTGTTTCATTTATCTTTTGTATTTTTTTGTTTCAGTTTCACTTAATTCTGCTCTGATCTTGGTTATTTCCTTTCTTCTGCTGGGTTTGGGTTTAGTTTGTTCTTGTTTCTCTACTTCCTTGAGATGTGACCTTCGAGTGTCAGTTTGTGCTCTTTCAGTCTTTGTGACGTAGGCGTTTAGGGCTATGAACTTTCCTGTTAGCACTGCCTTTGCCGTATCCCAGAGGTTTCGATAGATTGTGTCATTGCTGTTCAGTTTGAAGAAATTTTTAATTTCCATATTTCATTTTTGACCGAATGCTGATTCAGGAGCAGGTTATTTAATTTCCATGTATTTGTGTGGTTTTGAAGGTTCCTTTTGGAGTTGATATCCAGTTTTATTCCACTGTGGTCTGAGAGAGTGCTTGATACAATTGCAATTTTCTTAAATTTATTGAAGCTCATTCCATGGCCTGTTACGGTCTATCTTGGAGAAAGTTCCATGCACTGTTGATTAGAACGTGTGTCTGCAGTGGTTGGATGAAATGTTCCGTATAGATCTGTTAAGTCCGTTTGTTCCAAAGTATAGTTTAAATCCATTGTTTCTTCGACTTTCTGCCTCATGACCTGTCTAGTGCTGTTAGTGGAGTATTGAATTCCCCCACTATTATTGTGTTGCTGTCTATCTCACTTTTTAGGTCTATTAGTAATTGTTTTATGAATTTAGGACCTCCAGTGTTGGGCACATGTATGTTTAGAATTGTGATATTTTCCTGTTGGACAGGCCTTTTTACCGTTACGTAATGTCCCTCTTTGTCTCCTTAACTGCTGTTGCTTTAAAGTTGGTTTCATCAGACCTAAGAATAGCTACCTCTGCTTGCTTTTGGTGTCCATTTGCATGAAATGCCTTTTTCTACCCCTTTACTTTGTTTATGTGAGTTTTTATGTGCTAGGTGAGTCTCCTGAAGGCAGCAGATGGTTGGTGAGTTCTTATTTATTCTGCATTCTGTATCTTTTAAGTGGAGCATTTAGGCCGTTTACATTCAATGTTAGGATTGAGATGTGAGGTACTGTTGAAGTCATCATTCTCTTTGTTGCCTGTGTACCTTGGGTTTTGTTTTTTTGTGTTTTGTTTCTGCTTTTTAACTTGTATTTTTGTTTTATAGGTCCTGTGTGATTTATGCTTTAAAAGAGGTTCTGTTTTGATGTGTTTCCAGGATTCGTTTCAAGATTTAGAGCTCCTTTTAGTGGAGTCTTGGTAATGGCAAATTATCTCAGCATTTGTCTGAAAAAGACTGTATCTTTCCTTCATATAAGATGCTTAGTTTCGCTGGATACAGAATTCTTGGCTGACAATTTTTTTGTTTGAGGAGGCTGAAGAGAGGGCCCCAATCCCTTCTAGCTTACAGGGTTTCTGTCAAGAAATCTGCTGTTAATCTGATAGGATTTCCTTCATAGGCTACCTGGTGCTTCTGTCTCACAGCTCTTAAGATTCTTTCCTTCATCTTAACTTTGGATAACCTGATGACATCGTGCCTAGGTAAAGATCTTTCTGTGATTAATTTTCCGGGTGTTCTTTGTGCTCTTGTATTTGGATGTCTAGGTCTCTAGAAAGGCCAGGAAAGTTTTCCTCAATTATACACCCAAATATGTTTTCCAGGCCTTTGGAATTCTTTTTGTTTTCAGGAATACCAATTATTCTTAGGTTTGCATTTAACATAATCCCAGACTTCTTGGAGGCTTTGTTCATATTTTCTTATTCTTTTATTCTTTTTTGTTTGTCTTTGTTGGATTGGATTGATTCAAAGACCTTGACTTCAAGTTCTGAATTTTTTTTTTTGTTGAGACAGAGTCTCGCTCCGTCGCCCAGGCTGGAGTGCAGTGGTGTGATCTCGGCTCACTGCAACCTCTGCCTGCTGGGCTCAAGCGATTCTCCTGCCTCAGCCTCCCAAGTAGCTGGGACTACAGGTACGTGCCACCAGATCCAGCTGACTTACTTTTTATTTTATTTTATTTTATTTTATTTTATTTTATTTTATTTTATTTTATTTTTGAGATGGA